GCATAGCAACCACCCCAAGTACCCTAGCAACCGCATAGCAACATCCTAGCAACCACCCCGGGTACCCTAGCAACCACAAAGCAACACCCTAGGAACCACCCCATACATATACATATATATATATATATATATATATACAAACACACATACACATACTGTATATATCGAGTTCATTTCATAATTGATGAATTTTGCAACATTAACATTATTTTCCTGCACTCAAAAAAAGGCCTAAATGTAAGATTGATGCATTTGAAATGCATTTTAAAATTCCCATCTGTTTATATTAAACAGTTTTAACATAAGTGTAATGTGATCATATTTGTCAGTCATACAGAAATGAAACCGGTCAGATTTCTGTAATAGTGTTAATAAACTGAATGCGTTTTAAATACGCAATAACCAGCTTTATATATTTATCATCAATAAATCAAATTTGTTTTAATCTCATATACACACACATATATGCATTTATTAGTTACGGAGTTACATGGCATGCAGGAAAAAAAATAGTAGGCTAAATCATGTGCACGATTTACTATTTCGTTCCCTCGATTTATAAATTGTGCGCACGTTTTAGTACATCGAGGGAGCGAATTAGTAAATCGTGCGCATGATTTATTTATTTTTTCTTGCATGTCATGTGTGGGGCTCCGTAATTAGTATATAATTTTTTGTATATATATTTAATAAAAAAGTATTTAATTGATGCTGAAAATTCAGCTTGGCATCACATGAATAAATTATATTTTAAAGTATATTAAAATAGAAAACTGTTACTTTAAATTGTAATAATAATATTTCACAAAGATTTTTTGCACCCTCAGATTCCAGATTTTCAAATAGTTGTATCTCGGCCAAATATTGTCCTATCCTAACAAACCATACATCAATGGAAAGCTTATTTATTCAGCTTTCAGGTGATGCATAAATCTCAATTTCATAAAATTGACACTTATGACTGGTTTTGTGCTCCAGGGTCTATATAGGTATATATATATAAATGTGACTTGAAGCAAATCAGATTATGATATCAAACCAGCACGTTTATTGTCATCATTCTTGACCTGCACCAGATGCGATACGAGCGTCACGAACCGGTCGGGTCAGACGGCTGGAGACGTGGCTCTGTTCTGGGGTCACAGACACATCGCCCGTCTGCTGCCCAGCAGAGACACAGAAGAGCCAGACATTCACTTCAACAGAGAGCTCCTGGACCGAACGAGCGACAGACGCAGCGACGGCGAGTGGCTAGCGGCCAGAAGAGCTTCTCCAGAGACCGTGTTCCTGCTCTTCCACACTCTCAGTCCTCTGGTGCGCTCCGGAGCGGAGCGTGAGGAGCAGATACAGCTGTGCAAGCTCGGATACGCCGCAGTGCAGGAGCTGCTGGGGAGCAGCCGGACCCTGGAGGTTTTCTTAGGAGTGGAGAAGCAGCAGGTGGACAACGGGATGCTGGCGTGGTTCGCTCTCAGCACTGAAGACGATCCCACTCAACTCCTCAAAGATAAAGATCCCAGCAGTTTCTTCCTTCAGGAAGCCATGCCAGGACTCCTGAGGCTGAGCGACGATGATGCCGGTGGGGTTTTTCTCTTAAACACATAACTCTCACTCCACCATATAGAGCAGCAGTGGTTATTTTACATTTACATTTAGTCATTTAGCAGATGCTTTTATCTAAAGCGACTTACAAATGAGGAAGCAATCAAAACTAACAAAAGAGCAATGCTATAACAAGTCTCAGTTAGCTTAACACAGTACACAAAACAAGGTTTTTTTTTAATTATATGTGAGCCTGGACAGCAAAACCAGTCATAAGAGTACATTTTTGGAAATTGAGATTTATGCATCATCTGAAAGCTGTATAAATAAGCTTTCCATTGATGTATGGTTTGTTAGGATAGGACAATATTTGAAAATCTGGAATCTGAGGGTGCAAAAAAATCTAAATATTGAGAAAATCATCTTTAAAGTTGTCCAAATGAAGTTCTTAGCAATGCATATTACTAATCAAAAATTAAGTTTTGATATATTTACAGTAGGAAATTTACAAAATATCTTCATGGAACATGATCTTTACTTAATATCCTAATGATTTTTGGCATAAAAGAGAAATGTATAATTTTGACCCATACAATGTATTGTTGGCTATTGCTACAAATATACCTGCTTTTGTGCTCCAGGGTCACATATTATGAATAAAAAGAAAACAGATAGAATAGAAAGAGAATAGAAGCAAGCTAGTGTTAGGGGCTTTTTTTATTTGCTTTTGTTAATTGTCTAATAAATAAAAAGAAAACAAATAGATAGAATACAAAAAGAATAGAGACGCTAGTGTTAGTTAGTTTTTTAAGAAAACAAGCAGTTAGTAAATTAATAGAGTGCAAGTCTAAAAAGGGCAGTTTTTTTTAAAGAATAGAATTAGAATAGAGAGTGCTAGAGTTAGAGGGTCAAATAAAGATGGAAGAGATGTGTTTTTAGCCGATTCTTGAAGATGGCTAAGGTCATTTTAGTATCATTGATATACTATTGATTTTTAAAAAATGTAATTTTATTGTTATATTTTAATTTTAGTTACTGTAAGCTTTAGTGTATTCTATTTAGTTTATTATAGGTTTTAGTAATTTTGATGTTAGTTTTTTGTAATTGTCTATAATATGTCTATACTTTTTTTCCCCCCAGTTTTTTTTTAGTACTTCAAGTTAAACTAAAGGAAAATAAGATATGATGCCTCAGCAACTAGCTGATGTAAAATACGTTTTTATATTTTATTTTATATCAGTTATTTTATAATTTTATCTCAAGTAATGAAAATGTATTTTATGATTTTAGTTTTATTGACTTTCTTAAGTACTTATTTTAGTTATTTTAGTAGCCTATCATTGACATACTATTGTAGTTTTTTTTTATTAAACAATTTTTTACTTTCATCTTAATTTTAGTTTGTTATAAGTTTTACTTAATTTAAATAAACAAAATATATATTTTTTCAGTTTTAGTTATTTTACTAGAAGTTAAGCTGAATGAAAATGAGAAATTTGATTAGTTGAAATAAAATACGTTAACCGTTTTTTTATGTTATTTATTTCAATCATTTAAAAAAATTATTTCAAGTAATGAAAATGTATTTTATGATTTTAGTTTTATTGGTTTTAGTTTTTGCTGAGGTGGTTATGATTTAAAATAAGACAAAACAAGTAAAGAAGAATTTAAGAAGAATCAAGATCACTGTCAAGAAAAACTGATTTTTAAAAGTGTGAATTATAAACCTGGAAAAAGTCATGGAAATTAATCAAATCTTAAAATTCAGTGGACATGTTTATAATAAATATAATTTTTCTAGGTGTTTCAAGCTCTGAAATATTTCAGCAGCTTGAAATTGAGTAATAAATATCTTCAAAAATTCTTATTGGTAATCCTGATCCAGTAAATCCCTGACCCACATTCAGCTCTCAAAACCTCTGGAATCCTGCAACTTCATTATTTTAATTAGAAGCAACTAAAATTATTATTTTAATCTCTGGACAGTCCTAGTTTCCGTAAATTGGAAAAAAAAAAAAAAAAAAAAAAAAAAAAAAACAGTACAATAAGGTTCCATTAATTAACATTAGTTAACACATTTCCAAAACCCAAGGTTGCTTTACAAAGTTATTAAAAAAAAAAATTTGGCAAATAGCAAACATCCATAAGTACAATTCACAGACCAAGAGCTGAAGAGTAATATTCAGAGAGAGAAAAAAAGCTTTTTATGAGGTATTTATTCATCTTTATTAACATTAGTTCATATTAGTTCAGGTCCATTAAATAATATTTACCGATAAAATATTTGATTTTAAAAATGTATTGGTAAATGTTGAAATTAACAAACTAAGATGAAATGTTTTAGAAATATTTTTTCATGTTACTTAATGTTAAGAAAAGTAACATTTTTGTAAAGTCTTTCAGTACCACTGAGATACTATTATTGTTTTTGTTAATATTTTTAATTTCTTTCATTCTTTCATGTCTATGTAGTGTTTATAATTTTTTTTTTTTTGTCATTTTAGTACATCAAGTTAAACTCAATGAAAATAAGAAATGCTGCATTGGAAACTAGCTGAAATAAAATTAATATTTGTATATTTTATTTCATTTAACACTTGTTTTATTTCAAGTAATGGAAATGCTTTTTTTAATGGTTTCAGTTTTATTGAATTAATTATAATCCTGAACCCAGCTTTGTTATTATAGCAGAGGAACTATTTTAGTTTTAAGCTATAAGTTAAGTTAAGCTATTAGTTTTATTTAAGTTATAAGTTTTAGCACAACTGAATCTCTGTGTTTAGATATTTATACTAGAAAACCAGACAAAAACACTAAGCAAGAGAATAATTTTTTGCAGTGTAATTTTGCTATCCTCACTTACA